GAACTCACTAAGTAGACCAGGCTGGCCTTGAACTCACAGCGATCCACCTGCCTCTGCCTCCTGAGTGCTGGGACTAAAGGCATGTGCCACCACGCCCGGCCAGAATAAATCTTTTTTAAAAGACTTCAAACACGAGAGAGGTAGAGATTTGGGAGAATGAGAGATCCTAGATTAAAAACAGTAGGTGCTCAGCATATGCACACTACATGAAAATGTGAATTGCATGCCAGGCAGGGTGTTTACCAGGAGCACAGTGGGTAACCTATGTGTGTGCATGGTGCGGGGCATACACAGAAGTGTGCCCAGGTCAATGTGCAAGGCTGAGGGGTACACAATGGTGTGACTGTGTGTTGCCTATCATGTGTTGGGAACTCTGTCCCAGACCCTCATTCTAGGTGGGGCTGGAGTTAAGGGGGCCTGGCTGGGCCCAGGGGGTATCCCTGGCTGTCAGTCCCTCTGTGGGTGGGGGGCACCCCCGCTGGCGGTGATTGAGCCCCCGCTTTCCCACCAGGCCTGCCAAAATACAGTGAGACAGGGTGTAATTACCGGCACTTACCGCGGCCATTACCCCCCTCGCCGCTGCGTGTGACACACGACCCGTCAGCTCAGCGTTTGCACCATTAAGGGGCCTCATTAGCATCCCGGCTCAGAAGCAAAATTACCCTCACTGCTCATTTCAAGATGTCATCAATTTTAATTTAGGGCCCAAAGATAGTACAATGGAAAGGCCCTCCCCAGCCTGCCGCACATGGAGAGGAGCAGGTGGGGGAGGGGCTGTAAGGGAGCCAGGCCAAGGGGGCCACTGAGGGAGGACAGGGACAGAGGCAGGCTGCAGGGAAAGCAGGGAGGGGAGGAAAACGTATACCTCCTCAACAAAGGACCCCCCCACTAGGGCTTCCACTGGGGCCCCCTTGAAAAGGAAAAAAATTGGGGACACAAGATGGGGTGGACCCTGACCCACCCACCCCTAGGATATCGGGATCCATGCAGACTGAAAGGCGGCATTTAGCTTCTCAGTCCTTCCTTTAATTCCAACAGAAAGCTGGGTAGCTATATATGGCGATCCCCATTACAGATGGGGAAACTGAGGCCATCATCTAGCAAACTGTGGCAGAGCCCACCATTAGATGCAGGTGTGTTTGGCTCTGCTATTGCCTTGTGGAAGAGTCTCAGTCAACATATCTGGGACTGTGGGTGGACAGAGGCAGCAATCCACCAGCCTCATGGACTGAGCGCCAGGCTCACATTCCTGCCATCCTTGGGGACCATCACTCACTAGGCATGCTGTGTCCAGTACCTGGAGTGTACCCTTCCTCCCCTGCAAGGGGAGCACTCCTGTAAGCCTGGTCCCTAGAGACTCAGTTCAATGTCACCTCTGCCCTTTCCTCCAAACCACTGGCTTACATGTCCCGTCCCACCCACTGGGTATGGCTCCCAGAGAGACAGACTGTCCTTTATCTATCTGGATCTCTAGCATCCAGCCAGGACCAGCTCTCAGTGACACTCAGCATCTGCCCAGTGACTCCTTTCCAGCCCAGCCAGAGTGAGGATTGTTGTCTGGGCACAGAGGGACTGAAGTGGGTTCCCACTCTCCACTGTTCTAAGAAGAACAGCCAGGAGCTCAGGAAAGGCTATTTCTGCCTGTCTCTGATGGAACAGAGAGGTATGAAAGTTTGTTGAATGAATGTATGACTGGAGACAGGAACAAACAGGCAGATGGTGAATTCAACTGTCCCTCTCTGTGCTCAGGTCCCTTCAAGACAGAAATCTCAGCTATCCACATCCTAAAATAGCCACCTTCTATGGCAGGAAGACCTACAGACTGCCTATAGATCTTTCCAGAGGAGAGTTGTCTAGAAGGCCTGGTTTGTGGGGTGGATGAAGGACCGTTTTTCCAGCTAGCTCTGCCTGGTTTTCCTCACTCAGTCTGGGCCTCAGGAAAAACCCTGCAGCCTATGGACCTCAGTTTCTCAGACTCGTAAAGGAGAGTCCTCCAGCCACCATGATGTGAGGCTTTGTGACAAGACAGAGCAGGCTGAGGGACAGGGCACTGCCAATCACCATGCCTGCTGCAGCCCCATCAGAGCTTTCTGCCTAGTTGGGTGGGAGGAGAGGGCCCCCCCATCTGCAGCTCCTCATGGCAGCCGGCACCATTGCCCGGCCACACAGAAGACAGATCACTCCCTTAATCACTCTGGAAAAGAACCCCAAGCTGATATAATATTATAATTAATTAATTCACTAAAAAGGTATTAAATTTCTCTCCCCCCTGTGGATATTATCTGAATTCATTGACCTTTAGAAAAATCACCCTCTAATTGTAACCAGGTCCAAAAGCATTTGCGGCCCATCCCTTTTACATTAATAATATCTTCCTGGACCCAGCTCTGACTGCTTAAATATTGTATAAATTCCACTGCCCCCCTTGGAAAAGAGAGGGCAGAGAAAAAAGATGAGGCTGAAAGAGGCCAGGAGGGGATGGGAATTGGACCCAGGGTTTGGAGGCCCTGGAAGGTGGGGTAAGAAGGGTATCAAAGGGGCTCTTGTCCAGCTGCCCCAGATGACTAACTGGGGGGCTAAAAGGGTGGGGGAAGGGAACAGGCTTTGAGGCAGGACAGGGAACAGGAGTACTGAATTTAGGGTTCTGTATGTGTAGATTACAGTGTGTATCACACCCTTAGTCAGCTAAAGATCCCAAAATAGCAAAAGAGGAATAGAATTTAAAAGAACTGTGGCAAAGCCCGGTGTGGTGGTGCATACCTTTAATCCCAGCACTCGGGAGGCAGAGGCAGGTGGATCTCTGGGAATTCCAGGACAGCTGGGGCAGAAATTCTTGGAAATTCAGAACTGAGTTTGGTGTGGTTGTGCACACTTTTAATCCCATCCCTCCAGAGGCAGAGGCAAGTGAATCTCTGTGAGATTTGGGGCAGCCTGGTCTACATAAGATAGTTCCAGCTGGGGCTACTGGAAAACCCTGTCTCAAAAAAAAAAAAAGGAGGAGGGAAGAGGAAGAGAAACTAGCGACCAAGGAAGAGAGAATACCTGATACAGATGGACAGAGAACTGGAGTTAAAGTACTCAGGGGCCAGGGTGCTGTGCACACACTACCTTCCCAGCTCTGCTCCCTGAGCTCCTGCCTTGGCCACACATATAGGACCCAAGGGAGCTACAGCTGTTTGTCTTCCCCAGGCTGAGCTGGGACCCTTTTCCCCAAACTCCATCCCAAGACCTTAAAGAGGCTCCCAGATAGGCCACCCTTCCTCACGGCCCACTTCTCACTCACACCGTGGGCCTCATTTCTGGAAAAGGTGTTATCTGTCACTTAAGGGTGAAGAACATAGTCCCCTTGTTTAATTGCAGAGTCATAACCACCAAGGTGAATGCTGGTAACCTGTCTCCTTTCCAGCAGGTGAGGGTCTTGCTAGCCAGCTTCAGACACACTTTCTAGTGTCTTGCTGAAATGCTAGAGGCAGCAGCCCCATCTCCAGGCAGGGTGGAAGCCACCCAGGCAGTGTGGAACCGTTCAACCCCATTGAGATCAACTTCCCAGACACTGCCAACAAACCAGGCCAGCCTGGATCTGGCCCTGAGCGCCCTCGTGTGGATAAATCACACTCTCACCCTGGTCCTGTCCAATGTATTGTCCAGCAGCAGGTGCTGGTCAAACTGAAGGAGACCTGAGGCCAGGAAGCTGTGGGGCCTGGTGATGGAGTGGGAGGATAGGGTGGTCTTGAGGGTCTATGTGAGGAACTAGGGGAAGCTCTCCACTCCCAAAGGTGAAGGGGAATACCCAATTTCTCAACCACATGAAAGGCTGGTCCCAGAGTCTCTGGACTCCAAGCCCTCAAGGCTTGTGCCTCCAGATGACTCAACCAGAGTCCAGGGCTCACCCCAGGGGACTAAGAGGGAGATTCCCAGGGCAGGGCAGGGCAGGGCAGGGCAGGGCAGGGCAGGGCAGGGTGTCTCTGGCTGTGAGGTGAGACCCAGAATTGGAAGAAGCCAGCACCCTGGCTGGCTCAGGCTCTACAAGGTCATCCACAGTTCCACCTGACCTTGAGACTAATCCTTCAGCCTAGCCAGCCCAGCGCCATCATGCCCACACCATTGGCCCCCTTCCCTTCTTCCATCCCACGTTAATTGCTCCAGTGTTGATTTGATCTCTCTTTCTTTGCAGAGGAAATTGCCCTCTTAGCCATTTTCATCCTGGGATTTTTTTTTTTTTTTTTTAAATTAGGCTTCTTTGGCCTTTTAGGGCCCTTTGAAGGGAAACCATTTTGGTCTCCGGAAGAAAAGCCTGGAAAGTGGGGGAATTGGGCAAAATCTACCCTCCCTGGGCACCGGTCCATTTCCCCATCCTGGGGGGAAGGCCTAACATTCCAGAACCTTGGAGCAAAGGGTTGCCTGAGGCCTCACCACTGGACTGACTACCAGAGCAGACTGGAGTGGAACCCACACCTCTACTCCTGTCCAGGCTTTGTGCTCCCATCTCCTCCCAAACTAGCTCACATGGGTCCCTTTCCCCAAACCCATAGCAGCATGAGGCTAGAGATCTAAGCTGAAGAGGGGCCAGCCTCACCTCCAGAGCCTGTGAGGGAATCGCTGCGTTTGCAGCTACTCGGGGAGGGAGAAGAATCTTGAGAGGACCTCACTGAACATGCAGCAAGCTGGAACAAGGTACCCACTGCCAAAGAGGGCAGACCAGGTTTAGTAACAAGACCTGATCCTACCCCACCTTAGAGCTCAGCTCCAGCTGGAGGTGAGACCAGCGTGGCCACAGCGCCACCTTGTGGCCTCAGGGAGGGACGATGCTCCTATCGGCACCCTGAAAAGAATGTTTCTCCCTTAAGGGTGAGTTGGGGGACCCAGGTGACAGTACTTGTTTCCTCCTCCTGAACCCTCTCCTGATTCTTCAGGGAGCATCTGGATCCAAGAAGGGGCTCAGTAGGCTGGTTCTCCCCTCTTGTGGGCTGAGGCCACGCCACAGAGACAGGACAAGCTGGTACAAAGCACAGTGTTTACTAAAGGCACAAAGTGGGAGGTCTGGCAGGGTGCTGTTCTCCCAGCAGGGACCCCGCGCTCAACCCTGAACCCAGACCCCTCTTCCAACCACCCCACCCTCACACCACCAGGGGAGAGCTGTTAGCACCAAAGGAGGGTGGGGGGGAAGTACCAGGCTTGGGGACAGGCTGGGTGCCATGTGAGTCCCAGAAAGGCAGGCCTGGGCACCCCTACACCATGTGCTGCTTCAGAGAAGGTGCTTCCCAACCCCCCCTCTCCGAAATGTCCTTCATGGGGGGGTTCAGGCTTAGAAGATAGGGGCTCCTCTGCCAGGGCCTCTTCTTACCCCTCATCCCTGCCCTTCCTCCTCACATCCATACTGCTGCCCCCAGGGGAGGGGACATTGAGGTGGGGGGGGCTTCTCTTGGCCCCACTGGCTGCCAGGCAGGCACTAAGTCCAAACAGGGGCCAACCAAGGGGGAGGATCAAGGCAGGGGACAAGGCTACTTCACACCAAGTGCAGCCTGAGGGTGGGAGGGCGGTCCCTGCTCCTTGGCCCAGGGGCAGCCAGCGTCACAGAACATCACCCTCCTCCATGCTGAGGCTGCTGCGCCGGCTGCTGGCTTTGGAGGCCTCAGGGGACATGGTGGAGAAGAGGGGGTCGGAGGCCAGCGGTAGCAGGGAGTCATCTAGGAGCATGAAGTCCAGATCCTTCTTGGACAGGTTGGGGAATGGGGAGCCACGCTCTGTTCCCAGGGGATCAGGGTAGCCTGTAGGCCCCTCGTCGCCTGCACCCCCAAAGCTCAGGCTGTGGCTGAAGTCCAGGTGATGAAATGGGGACTGTGGCTGGGTGGCCAGGGGCAGTGGGGCCTGGGAAGGTAGAGCCGGCATTGGCTCGGGATCGGGGACCTCAGGCCCCAGCATCAGAGTCTCCCCTGGGCCCTCTTCCCCAGGCAGCTCCTGCTTCACCACCTGCTGGGCCAGCTCAGCCATGTTCACGCCTGATGGGGAGGTGGTAGGGAGCCCATGAACACGTGCCTGCATCTCCAGCTCCTGTGGGGGACAGATGAAATAATGAGGTACTTAACACATGCACCAGAACTAGGCTACCCCGACCCACATGTCACTGCAGCACCCGCCCTTCCCTTGTGACACCCAAGACCACAGACTGTCTCAGTTGGATGAAAGCAGAGGGTAGCTGGAGTCTAGACCAGGGACTACGAAACCACTGCAGTGAGTTTTGACCAGCTCTCTCTCAAAATTTTAAATTGAAACAGACTTGTCTAGACGAGACAGGAATAGAAATTATCAAAATGCTTTGCATCTATTAAGAGTGGGTTTTCTTTTGTGAATGTTCAATTTTTCACTTTTGAGTGTGCTTGTGAGACTGTAATGTGAATTCTACCTCCCACCATGGCAACTGAAGTTTAGAAAGCTTTGGTCCACTCATCCTTTGTCCAACAAGACCAGCCTCAGGTCCAGAGGGGACAAGTGATCCTCTACATAGCCAGGAACAGATCTTGCAGCTCCAGTGGATGGGGTTGCATTTCCCAAGCCTCAATTCTTCAGTGTGAGATTCTTTTTTTTTTTTGGCCTTTTTGAGACAGGGTCTTCTGTAGCCCCAGCAGGCTGGCCTGCTGCCTCCCGAGTGCTGGGATTAAAGGCGTGCGCCACCACACCTGGCTTTCAGTGTGAGATTCTTAAAGCTACTACCAAATACTTCCAAATCTGCCTTCCAGGCACCTGTAGTGTATGGAGTGGGGGCAGGGGAGACTTTTCTGCTTCCTTGAGGGTAGGTATAGTATATACGTACTTGGCATTGCCCAAGGCCATGTAAGCAGAAGCAATTTGTGGGGCCTGAAGAGGGATTAGAGAACCAGGCCTGGTGGCATGTACCCGTAATCCCAACACTTGGGAAGCTGAGGCAGGAGGGCTGTGAATTCTAGGCCAGCATGCTGTACAAAGACAGACCCTGTCTCCAAAAAAGTTTTAGATCTGTCTGGCCACCAGTATGGATTCCATAATGGCATGTCACAGAATAGAACCTGCCGCAAATGTTTGCTGCTTAAATGAATGGGAGACTGTTTGTCATCGAGATATAACATCCTGACTGATACACCTTCCTTCCTCATGGATATCATCCCAGGTCTCCAACTTCAGACACTTAAGCCCCACCACTGGGATTGGGAGCCAGATCAGGGTCAGGGAGAGAGCTCCCCAAGTCCAGGGCCAGACCTGGATTCGAAGCCAGAGCTGCTTGTTGGTCATCTCTAAGCGCCGAGAGTGATTCTCAAGCTCCCGGGACTTTTGCAGGTCCTTCTGCATCCTCCGGATGTAATCCACAGAGGCCTTGAGGATGGTGCCCTTGTTCCAGCGTACGTCCCTGCAGCCACAGCCAGGTAGAATCAGAAGTGTGTGTGCAGAGGCCTGGCCACTCCCTGACAGTGGGTTAGTTTTGGAGCCTTTGACTAGCTGTCCATCCATCCCCTAATACCTAGCATTGTGCAGGAGACCAGGATCTCAGTCTTTACAGAAAGGCCTTCCCAGGTGACATCCCTTGCCACCACCCACCCCTTCACTAATCCATGGGCCCAAGCCATCTACCCCAGCCTCTTTGCTAGAACCTTCCATTCCCACTGTCCAATCCAAGGTCAGCTGTGGCTCTCATTCCTGCCCCTGTGCCTCTTTTCTCTCCATCAGGCCACCATCCTCCAGACACTTTCCCACTGTGACTCCTCCTCCAGGAAGCCCCACAGGACTATAGGCTCCCTTCCCAACAGAAGCTGCCCTGCCTCCAAACAGATGTTCCCTCGATGACTGCTCTTAGCAACCTCCTAGGGCTGGGGGCTAGTAATGCCTGCAGCGGCTGGCTGACCACCCCAGGGCCCCTCCCCTCCCCCCATAAACCTGCTCACAGGTCGTTGGCCTTAGGGATCAGCATTCCCAGCTCCTTGATGCGGTCATTGATGTTGAATCTGCGTCTCCTCTCAACTGCAGATTAAGATTCCATTGGGTGTGGTTAGAAGGAGGGGCCCTACCTAGAAGTCCCAGCCCCAGCACCCCAGAGACAACCTTAGTATGGAATCTGAGGGACCCACAGGCAGGGACACTGCAGGAAGAGGAGGGTAGTCTCAACACAATTAAGGGGTTCTAGGAGGAGGCTGTGCCCTGGCCAGCACGGAGCAAGAGAGCTGCCTGGGGCAAACTCCTCCCACAACTTCTGCTGCCCCAGACCCTGAAGGCTGAATTCTGATCAACTGGGAAATTCTTGAATACAACTTCCAGCAGCCCCTCCCACCCAAAAAAGAGCACACTGGAAGAGGGCAGAGATGAATGATCCCACCAGTCCTGCAGACACTTCAGTGGGGCAAGCTGGCCAGGCTGGGGATGCTGCCTAGAGTTGGTAAAAGGAGGGGACAGCCCCAACTCACTCAGGTTGTGATTGTCTTTCTTCTGCCTCTCCTTAGCCAGGGCCCTGCTCTCGGCATCTGGAGGCCAAAAGAGAAAAAGAGAGGTTCTGGGAAGGAGGGAAGAATGAAGGGAGGCCCACCCCAGGGGTGCAGGAGAGGGGCGTGGCAGTACCTGTGAGCTCTCGCTTCTGGGTCAGGTCTGCTGGGCAGGAGCTGCTGGTGACACCCACCAGAGAGGCTGAGACCTGGGGGTCGCTGCTATACACATTCAGGTGGCTGCTGGACAGGGGTAGCTGTGGAGAGAGGGGTAGAGGGGGGCTTGGTGAGTCCTCTCCAGGACCCATAGTACCTAGAGTAGCTGTTCTCTAGGGCACCAGGGGTGTCTGAATCCCTCCTGAGCTCCTTCAGCAGTTCAGTCTGCAGGCTTTGAAGAGGAGAGCGAACTCAGCATCTCAGCATAGGCCAGCCCTCAGGAGCCCCCGGCCAGGGTGGAGGAGGGACCTAACCAATGAACAGTGCAGTAATGGGTTTAGGCCCCTGCTGGTTATGGAAGCCCTAGGGAGGGGCTCAATCTGTTTGGGAGTTTCTGGAAGGTTTCCTGAGGGTATGGAATTCAACTGAGCAGGAGCTGAGAGGGGGAAAGCAGGGAAAACCTTCAAGGCAGGGTAGGAAAAGACCTCCCAGCTCCCCCCACCAGAATCGGGCAAGAGCTAGCCCCAGGGCTAGACACCCACAGCACACCCACTGAGGGGACATTACTTATTGCACAGCCCGGCTTCCAGGCCCCTCAGCCCTGCCTAGCTGCAGGTCTGCACCCAGTAGGCTCTGCCCAGCTTGTGCTCAGCCACTTAGCAATATTAAGGCAGGAGGGGCTGAGGATGGACTTTGATACTACCCACCCAAGGAACTGGGAATTTTCCCTCAGTGGCATGGCCATACCAGCTCACGGCAAAACTCTGTTCGGCCAAAAGAGCAAAAGAGGTTGAGTCTAGCAGCTTGGGGCACACACTTGTCACTCTATTTCTTCTTCCTTTCAAAAATTTTATTATTAATTATCGTATATGTGGGGGAAGGGGTCTGCGCATGTGTGAGTCCAGCGCCCACGGTGTCCAGAAGAGGCTGTCATATCCTCTGGAGCTGGAGTTACAAGTGGTTGTGAGCCACCCAGTGTGGATGCTAGGAACTGAACTTGGGACCTCTGCAAGAATGGTATGCACTCTGAGCTATCTCTCCAGCACCATAATTATTTCTTGTCCCTTCTAAACGTCCCACAATCCTATGGGTAGATGGTATCACTCCTACTTTGCAGCTAATCAGACTGGGGGTCAGAATGGTGGAGGGACTTCCTAAGGTCATGATGGAAGCCCCAGGTCTCTTGATTCCAAGTCTGGCTCCTTCCTACCTGCCACCTCTCTCCTGCCTGGGAGACCCAAAGAGCGATCAGGCCACCAAGATGCTGTCAGAGAGAGGGGTCCTGTGGCTGGGACAAGACCAGCCCCACTGAGAATGGCACACACCTTTGGACCCTGGGCTCAGTAGAGGATTGGGAGCCTTGATCCCCACAGGAACTGATCAGCTCAGAACCATTTCCCTTTGGACATACTGCTGTTCTGCTGGACCATTCTCCCAGCCTGCTCTCTACCCTACTCAAAGGACTCCCAGCACCCTGCACCTCTCTGAAGCCCCATCACACACACAGGCAGAGATCAGGACATGCCTTTCTTGATTCAATTCTGCTTGACCCTGGTCTTCTCACAGTGATTGAGGTGACTCATCTCTACAGATACCAGCCCTGCTTTGGGAACTCTCTCCAGCCTTGGAGTCACTGTGGGTCCTCTATGCACCCCTTTCCCCTTCAAGCCCAGTAGTACCGTATTGGGCATTTGCATCTCAGGGTTGATGTAGCCCAGCACATTGTCCAGACGCATAATGTTGTCAATGACATCATCGAACTGGAAAAGAGACAAGTCCAATTAGGGCCTACCTGGAGAGGGGCAGCCACTCATCTGGAGAGCCCATGACACCACCCATCCAACCAAGCAGGAAATGAATGAGAGAAGGGTCCTTCTGACCCAGCTTAAGCCTAGCTAAGGCTCTCCCCAGGAGCCCCTCAGCAGGAAGTCCTTGACACATCTTCCCTCCCCAACTGACAGAGTGAATACCAGGCTTTCCTCTATGAGTGCCTATTCCCAGCAGTGGTAAAGGAAGGGTGGTGTCTTCTCAGACTGAGGCTTCCTGAGGACAGGCCATTATCTCCCTCAGACTGGGGCTCCCTGAGGACAGGCCATGTCTCCTCAGACTGGGTCTCCCTGAGAACACACCCACTTCTGCCGTTAAGACAGGACTTTTGAGCCGGGTGGGGTGGCACACGCTTTTAATCCCAGCACTTGGGAGGCGAAGACAGGAGGATCTATAAGAGTTCAAGGCCAGCCTGGTCTATATAGTGCGTTTCAGGCCAGCTGGGGCTACAGGGAGACCTTGTCTCAAAAAGACTGAAAAAAGGGGGCTGGAGAGATGGCTCAGTGGTTAAGAACACTGACTGCTCTTGCAGAAGACCCAGGTTCAAATCCCAGCACCCACATGGCAGCTAACAACTGTCTGTAACTCCAGTTCCAGGGGATCCGACAGCCTCTTCTGTCCTCTGTAGACACTGCATGACATGGGTGCACTTACCTACATGCAGGCAATACGCTCATACACATTACATAAAAATAATAGGTAAAATATATATATAAAAAAATACTCCACCTCCAAATAACAGCCAATCAGTCATCAAGAAATATCCTGCAAAGGCCACCGGGATCTATGTTCTCTATTGTAAAATCTAATTTAGTGGAGAACAGAAATTGGAGACAGTGCCTGTATTGGATTGTTCTAACTAGATCAACAGGCAAAGTTTCCAAGGACCACCGACACGCAAACGGAGATGAATGACTGAATTGGTTGGATTCATAAGAACCATCCATCCCCAGCACCAGGAGTCGGCACATCCTGCATGGGGTTGAAGAAGTCAGGCCCAGGAAGCTCCTGCCGTACTGCCGGAGTTCACACCAGGGAAGAGCTGCAACTTGCCACCTGTCCCATCCTACCCGGCCCATTCCCAACCTGCACCTAAATGAGCAGTTACCTATGTCAAGCAGTTGTTAGTCACTAGACACTAAGTTCAATAAACAAGTTCAAATGACAGCAGACAAATCCACCCAGTTCAAAAAGTGACCATCTGTAAGAGCTGGCCGATATCGCCCAAGCTCTACTCTACACAATTATCAGTGGCTTTTAAAAATCTTTATTGAGGCTGGAGAGATGGCTCAGCAGATAGCACTGGCTGCTCTTGCAGAGGACTGGGG